AGCCCGTGTCCAGTTTAAATAAAAAGGGTTTAAATGAAACATCTCATTCCAAAAAAAAAAAAAAAAAAGCCGCAGACACAAGCGAATATGTGGATGATCGCATGGCTTGAACTTTGAGTCCGAGAATTATTTGGGGGGCCAACGCGAGTTTGGGCTTGTTTTTAAAAATGATTTGCCTCCTGTTGTGTCGCTGCATTTTCATTTTGAAAATATTGATGGTGCTTCTCACGGCGATCAGCTGCGCTGCTATTTACGTTGCAATTTGCGTGTCGTCGCCATCCGCAACAAAAGAACGACGCTGCTGGAACATGAATTGATTGCCTGCCAAGGGTGTCTGTCATCCTGGGGAGTGAATCGGTGTTTGTTTAAGGGTGCGAACTGCCAGTGTGCCTGGTCGGGTTTTTTTTTTTATTTTTGCTCATTTGTTATTCACAGCCGCAGATTTTTGGAAAGTGTCACTACAATCACAATAAAAGTACAACAACTGAGATTCAAGTCAGTGTTGAGTGGAAAAAAATGACCCCCCCCCTCCCAAAAAAAAAATCACATTATTACGAGAAATAAATATTGGCATGACACGAAAAAAAAAAAAACTGTCAAGTTGGCGTAACCAGAGAAGTAATGTTGCCATTACTTTTGTTGTTTTTTTTTTTTGAGGGATGTTTGAAATTGACCTGGAGTACCTGCTCAACTCCTAACTGGAGCTCGTAAGAGGGAGCACAGAACCCGAATTCTGCTTTTCCTTAACTGGCTACCAGTACATTTTAGAGTTCTTTTTAAGATTCTATTATTTGTTTTCAAATCTTGAAATGACTTCCATTAAATGTTAGGCAAGGCCCCTCGCTGCCCATTTTTAAAACTTTAGAAAAATGAAATGGAATTGAACACAAAGACAAAAAAAACGCCGTCAACTTTCTGACGCAGATGATTCGGCGATATGTCAAACTCAGGATAACTGCTGAGGAAGACTTACTCGATGTCTGATTTTTTTTCCCCGCTTTTAAGTATCAGGGGTTGAAAAAAAAAAAGTTGAAAATAGTCATAATTATTATGAGAAAAGAAGTTCATTGAAAAAAAAAAGTGATCGTTTGAGAATTAAATTGCATTCGCTGCCATTCCAAATAAGTGCGATGACAAAAGTAACAGTCACCTTATTATCCAAATAAAGACGCAACATAGTGAGTAAAAAGTCGAAAAATTATGAGAAAGAGAATTTTTTTTAAAAAAAAGGTATTTCATCGAAAAGTAGAAATAACGACAAAAAAAAAACCCCCAAAACTAATTGCCAACTCCGAAGGAAAAAAGGTGTCGCATTAGAAGCAAAGTCCAAGAAGTCGCAGCCTGAGAAGAAAGTCAAACCGATCAAACGGGAGCTGCTGGGTGAGAACATAATTTGTCACTTTGGGAGCGCCCCCTCCCTCCCCCCCTCCCCATATCCTTTGATTTCGTGTCTTTGGAGGGGTTTAAATTTAGTCCAGTTGGCGATCCATTTGGCCCGCTGGACATTAAAGCGGGAGCCGGAGGAGCCTAATAGGAGCCATGCTCGCTTGCGCGCCCCCGCCCGCCTGACGGCGGCGGCTCGCTGCTTTTTCAAGGGGCCCGCTAATGGACTTCAGTCTCCTCGCGTCCCAATTAGCTGCTCCCGAGACTTTTGTGTCTCGCTCGGGTGTGTGCGCGTGCGTGTAAAGTTGCAATCGTACGAAAACCAAGCTGTCGTTTGCGCCAGCCCCAAGAAAAAAAAGTTGAGATATTCCGAGAAAGTCGAGTTTTTTTTTTTAAAAAGTCAAAATATTCAATGGAATTGGACATGATGAGAAATCAGATGAATTCCTCTGAGAATAGTTGCTTTTTTCACACAATTATGAGAAAAGTAAAATTATTATTAATGGGTTCACGATGAATAAAATTGCCATGAATGACGCTCAAAACAACATAAGAAGTTTTTTTTCTGATAATTTTTTTTCTTAGAATTTTTTTTGTTGAATTTTAGAAAAATGTACATATTTTGACTTTTTTTTCTTTTTTTCGCGGACGCGTGCAACTCAAGCAGGCAGCACGGTGTAAA